ATAAATGTATTTTAATTTTATAGTATATACTTATATATAAATACATTCATGAATGTTTTTAATGAATGGATTTTATAATAATACAAATAGCAATGTGTAACATTTTACCATATTTAGCACTTTTATTTGTTCCCCACACAATATTGGTTTTCACTAAATGTTTGGATTTCTAAAATTATTGTGCACTGATTTTTCTAGAATAACTTTTGCTGCCGAATTATCCACTAACCTAGTTTGATACATTTTTGTCATAGATTATAAATATACATAGGCCTATATTTTTTCATATTTGTTTATTTTATTTTTCTTTATAATGAAGTAGTCTGTATCTAGTAGATTGTGAAAGAATGATTATAATTTCCACACACAGAGATATATAAATTCTACATTTATTTAAATGAGGGAAAAACTTCACTGGTATCGGATCGGTATCGGGTATCGGCCAATACTGAACCCTAGGTATCGGAATCGGTATCGGAAGCGAAAAAGGCGGATCGGAGCATCCCTAATTCCAATGCACTCATCCGCAAAACCTTGAAGTAAACTACACAAGGTAAAAAAAAAAAAAAGCCATACTACAATGTGTGTCGACTACAATGTGTTTTCACTTATTTTCTTGGGTGTTAATTGCAGTGAAATCTCACTCAGTACATTTACATGCACTTACTGAAATGTAGTTATGAATATTTTTCTGCACTAAAGGCTGTGCATATCTCCTATTCACCATCCAATTTTTTTCTAGTCATAATTTTGCATATTATTGGGCCTGTGCAAATAATTGTATTAATTACATTTTTTTTGTTTTGTTTGAGTAAGTACATATTTGTTGCTTTTATTTGTAGAAATATTTTGGTACCGTGTTGGGTCGCCACTTGATGTCCAATGTCAAATCTGAGCCCTGAATCAAAACCAGTCAGGAAGCTCTGTTTTAAAGATTGTAGGAAAAGCAGTGAGGATGCGTGGAAAGCCTTGAGATGCTTGGAGTCCAGCAGTTGTGATTTAGAGAATCAGTGGGCAGCGTGTGTTCTTTGGCTGAGTGATCTTTTCATTTAAACCGTGCCTTGAACTAATCCAGTAGTCCCACTGATACTGGGTTTGGCAACATGTCTGAAATACAATCTTTTTTCCTCTTGCTTCTTTAAAGCATCAAATATAACAGAAGCAGAAGCAAGATTTGACTTTCTCTCCATCCAACAAGTTTGTATCTCTCCTTTCGAGTGCTTGAAGTTAAAGGGCTTCACTAAGACCTTCAAACTAAAAAGAGATTATAGTTCTTATGATAGCGTTGGTGGGTGAAATGAGGGCGATTGAAAGCGAAGTGGCTCTGACAAAGACGCAGTTTCACAGTTTCCCTTCTTTTCTTCCATCCTTTCAAGGGGATACAATATCGGAGTGCGTCTGATTGAGGACTTCTTGGCTCGATCCAGTGTGGGGAGGTGTCACGATTTCCGAGAAACGGCCGATGTCATTGCAAAGGTAACGTGAGTACTTGGAGCCAATCAGAGTGCATGCTGAGTCCTCCTTTAGGCCTTTAGGGCCGTTTGTGCGGCATTAGAATGAACCGAGACACTCGTGTTCCTCTCGGCTTGTATTCTTTGGTCTGCGATAGCCACAGACTTTGCTTTTTTACAAAACGATGCACCTCACCCTAAGCGTATAAGGCTCTCACTGACAGGATTGACAAAGCGTTCTTCCCCCTGTCCATCACCTGTCCATGCTTGCTTGGTCTCTGTCTGTCTGTCTGTTCTCCTTTATTCTGTTTTCTGTCTTTCTCTCCTCACTTTCCTCCACATGTGCCACGTTGTCGAATGCTAATCCAGAATGCATCGGTTTGCTGGGACCCTGATCAGAATCCTAAACCTGTGGGTCTTAAAACGATTTTTATTAAGTCACTGAGGGTTATAATGTAAAGGATTTTGTTTAGTTGTTTATGGTTGCTGAGCAATGCAGTGACTGGGAGCGTTAATATAGAATTCAAATGATGTGCGCTCACAGTTATGTGTATTTTGGCTATTTTACAGCTTTAAACGGGGCACATCCATTCTGAATTTAGGATGAAAGCATTTTTATTATGGAGTTACTTATTGTGAAGCTGTTTTTGCACTGATGTTCTGAGGATGTAAGGGATTCACTGTACTTAAATTCTGTTCAATATAAGCCAAAAATTTTCATTTCATTATAATATTCATTCATTTTATTATTGCCTATTATTGCTGTTTTTATTTTTTATTTAGTTTTTTTATATATAGTGTAGCATTATTTATAGACTATTGTATATATTTGTTTTAATTGCTTTTATTTTTATATTTTTACTTTAATTTTAGTCATTTTAATTTTAGTTCATGTTTTAGTAAGTTATGTGCATTTGTCATTTTATTAGTTTTGGGGGTTTTAATATTTATGTAATAGCTATTTAATTTTTATTTAAATTTTAGTTTTAGTGAGTTCAACTTAACCTTGTTTAGTTCAATTAGTTGCCATTTCTAATCTTCTTTAGGTTTTTTTTAGTTGAAGCTTTTCTAATAAAAGTATTTTTATTTTATTTCAGCTTTGTTTCAGTTACAAATTTTTTATATTTAATAGTTCACTACAACAGTGCTTGCAACAAGTGATTTTAGGCATTGCAACATCATAATGTGCAGTATGAAAAATAAATATAAATTTTGAGATTTGATTGAGAAATTAGCTACATACTTGTAAGTAAACGTCCAATATCAACTGATATCAATTTAAAGAAAGCAATAATAATAATAATAATAAAATTTAGTATCAGCCTATAACCAAAATGGTGCCATGCATCCACAAAATATCATATTCTACCTTATAGTAATCTTATTCTTTGAGTTTGTGTCCAGGTTTCTAAAATAAAAAGAAAACATTGTCAAATCAGTAACTTTCATTTTGATATATTTAATTCTACAATTGTTCATAGTTAAATGGTTTTTAATTTTAAAGTTACTTGAATTTCCAGCAAAAATTATCACATTGTGATATACTGTTAGTGTGATGTGAAATGATCAAGATTTTGGTCTCTTTTATGGCCTGTCCTCAAAACGTCTTTTCAAACCCGTACTGTGCAAAAACAAGTCCTTTCAGTGTCAGAGTCGTGAATACAGCACCTAAAAAGAATGTGGCAGCTCTGCAAAATCACTTAATGTGGCCCTGACATCATAGATGTAGGCAAGCGAGTTAACATGAAGACTCGAGAGCCTTTTTTGTCTTCACATTAACAGGTAGCCTTCAAGATGTACTTGGGTGTCACCCCCAGCGTGACCAACTGGAGTCCTGCTGGAGATGAGTTCTCTCTTATCCTCGAAAGCAACCCCCTAGTGGACTTTGTAGAGCTTCCTGACAACCACAGTAATCTAGTTTACTCCAGCCTGCTCTGTGGAGTGCTGAGAGGAGCTCTTGAAATGGTAAAGAGCATGTTTGCGTGAGATGAATCGATGATCTTCTGCTAACCCTCAATTACCATTCACACTAAAGTTATTTTTCTACTCCTGTAGGTTCAAATGGCAGTGGATGTGCGATTCGCTCAGGACACACTAAGAGGTGACAGTGTGACAGAAATTCGCATGAAGTTCATCAAAAGGATCGAGGAGAACCTGCCAGCTGGAGATGAATGAGACTGAGAGACTTTTGATTTGAGAGACTTTTTTTATGTTGGATTGGGAACCAAAAACTTGGTTTGTTTTGGTCAAGAAGACCAACCAATCCCCAAACATTGTAAGTATTGTAATGCGAATTCACCGTCGAGAAGATTTCTCTCGATGTGTCACCAAGGTTGGCATGTTCTTTCCACCTGGTCCATGTTTTTTATTTCATACAAATACCTTCTCAAGTCTCTTTTTCTATGTCAGTTTGTCTCTAGTGTATTTCTTGTTATTCTTTTTGCATTTAACTAATACATATGGCACAGAAGGGTTTAATTTATATAATCAAGTATCGTAATCAGATTGAATAAATCATTAACTACCAACAACTGTGGCCAATCCCCTCATTTATCGTTCTTCTACTCAATAGGCCTTTGACACAAACTAATATTTACTCAAAGTTGCAATAAAGCGCTCATTTGAGCGGACCATATCACACTGCTGTTTTAATGTCCATAACGCTTGTATCAAAAACAACTTTAGATGGCTAATCTAAAACCAACATTTGAAGAAAGGGCCCCATGTTCGCCAAGAACAGAGCCGTAGTCTTTTGAGACGCACATGTTTTGTAGAGGGCCAGTGGTGTTAAAGGGAGTCTGGGAGGGGTCTAGGTATGTAGATAATGGGACCTGTGTGCGCCGAGCCTGTGGCAGGTCCCTCCACACGTATGCAATGAAGTGTCACAGCAGCCCCCATCGCCGTCTTCGACTTGTCGTGTACTGGCCCTTGCATCGTCGGACTGTTATTCCTACAGCATGGCAACACGATGTGGTTAGAGTTAAACAACAATAACAAGGGCCTAATTCGTCTCAGATGTTTACTCAAGCAACGTGGAAGCAATCAGGGCCTGGAGGTTCACTGGTGCGTGTGCAGGACAGGGCTGTTTTGGGAGCCAGTGCGTTTTAATGGTGTAGCCGAGGGGGGTCTCGGTCATGCTGACCAGTGGGAAGAGGAAGGCCGTTCGCTGAAAGCCATTCATTTCTCCGGAGCAGCTCAAAGTTTGTTCCTGACACCTGTTAATCGCCTTACATCATGATCTGGGCTTCTTTTTCCAGAATTCCACACCTCGTCAATCACAAATGAAAAGAAGTTTACTGCTTCTACTACTACTTCCCATCAGCTAGTGTATGGATTCGGTTTTATAAACTTTAGCCCTTTCAGATGCAATTTCCATATGATTTGATTCGCACTGATGTGTTGAATAATGCATTCATTGTGTAAGTGTATTGTTTTGTTACATCGAGCCACTAGAGGTAGCTGTGAGCATTGTGGTGGGTGACTTTTTCTCCTCTTTCCATTCTCATGGATTTTTCTGTGTTTCTCTTTAATTTGGTATTTGATTGCTCACGGGGTCCACCAACTGCTTGTTTTTGAATCTCTGGGGCTGGGAAATTATTTCGTGGAATATATTCTTTATCCACTCGCTCTTGATTCAGGGACATTTACAAGAAAAACAGTGGAAAATGTATGCAGAGCCCTGTCAGGCCGAATCCCTCGTCCCCTCTCGCTAGATTATGCATGCAATGTATGTATTCTGTACAATGTGTATATTGGAAAGCGAGGGAAGAGGAAATGGTTTCGCACAGACATTTGATGTAAATCATTTGGCAGAATTAGACCCCTGTATCATGGGGATATACAGCTGGGATTGTGTACTGCATGAAAACTTGTATCACTCTTCCATATGCTCTCAGGAATTTCTCTCGCTCCTTCTTTCTCCCATCTTAACAATGCAGGATATCTCCTTGGCCAAGCATCCGAAACAAAGTGATGTGTCAGTATTTATTAACCATCACGGTCACCTTTAACCAATATGTATCTCGGCATGAGAAGAAGAATGGACTCCAGACTATGAGATGACCTCCTCATCATCTTTCTTATACTGTATGTTTTTTTTCTCATCTGTATGAGCTGCTCATATTAGTGTGACCACCATACTAGGCCAATACTGAAATCCTTCATGGAGAAGGCACAAAAGAATTCCAAGAAGCTCTTTTCCACCATAAGGAATTGATTTTTACAAGCTATTTTTGTTGCATGTCTAAAGGCAGGTCAATGGCAGCAAATGAAAGAAATGACGCCTGAAACTTCAAGCAGTTTGTGTAAGTTCTGTTATATGCATTGGTTTTTAATTTATGGACTCCAGACTATGAGATGACCTCCTCATCATCTTTCTTATACTGTATGTTTTTTTCTCATCTGTATGAGCTGCTCATATTAGTGTGACCACCATACTAGGCCAATACTGAAATCCTTCATGGAGAAGGCACAAAAGAATTCCAAGAAGCTCTTTTCCACCATAAGGAATTTATTTTTACAAGCTATTTTTGTTGCATGTCTAAAGGCAGGTCAATGGCAGCAAATGAAAGAAATGACGCCTGAAACTTCAAGCAGTTTGTGTAAGTTCTGTTATATGCATTGGTTTTTAATTGGATTTTTAGATGTGGATATTGCACTTTAAAAATGAATGTGAGTGTTCAGTCGATTATGGAGGGGATTGGTTTGAGCAGACTAAATAATTGGAGAAGTTCTGCATACATTACCAGAGATGAGTAATTTTCACAGAACGTTCCAATTTTGATATTCTGATTAAACATCACAAAGGTCAAAGCTTAAAAAAATTAAATGTATGCACGGATGAATTGTTCATAATATCTATAACATGCATTTAGAAAATAGATGGGATGAATTTTCATAGCATTCCGATGTTAACAAGAATAGCTCATTCAAAAATGAGTTTTTTTTACTTTCATGTGTTTTAAAAACCTGTATGATTATTTGTTGTCCACAGAATGCAAAATTAGATGTCTAGCAGGATGTCCAAGATGCTCTTTTGCATGCAATGAAAGTGAATGGTGACCAAGACTGACAAGCAAGATTTTCTGTAAATATCATCTTAATTTTCTTTTTTTTCATGCTGTGGAAGTCTTATAATGACATGTAGTGGTCTCGGTCATGCTGACCAGTGGGAAGAGGAAGGCCGTTCGCTGAAAGCCATTCATTTCTCCGGAGCAGCTCAAAGTTTGTTCCTGACACCTGTTAATCGCCTTACATCATGATCTGGGCTTCTTTTTCCAGAATTCCACACCTCGTCAATCACAAATGAAAAGAAGTTTACTGCTTCTACTACTACTTCCCATCAGCTAGTGTATGGATTCGGTTTTATAAACTTTAGCCCTTTCAGATGCAATTTCCATATGATTTGATTCGCACTGATGTGTTGAATAATGCATTCATTGTGTAAGTGTATTGTTTTGTTACATCGAGCCACTAGAGGTAGCTGTGAGCATTGTGGTGGGGGACTTTTTTTTCTCTTTCCATTCTCATGGATTTTTCTGTGTTTCTCTTTAATTTGGTATTTGATTGCTCACGGGGTCCACCAACTGCTTGTTTTTGAATCTCTGGGGCTGGGAAATTATTTCGTGGAATATATTCTTTATCCACTCGCTCTTGATTCAGGGACATTTACAAGAAAAACAGTGGAAAATGTATGCAGAGCCCTGTCAGGCCGAATCCCTCGTCCCCTCTCGCTAGATTATGCATGCAATGTATGTATTCTGTACAATGTGTATATTGGAAAGCGAGGGAAGAGGAAATGGTTTCGCACAGACATTTGATGTAAATCATTTGGCAGAATTAGACCCCTGTATCATGGGGATATACAGCTGGGATTGTGTACTGCATGAAAACTTGTATCACTCTTCCATATGCTCTCAGGAATTTCTCTCGCTCCTTCTTTCTCCCATCTTAACAATGCAGGATATCTCCTTGGCCAAGCATCCGAAACAAAGTGATGTGTCAGTATTTATTAACCATCACGGTCACCTTTAACCAATATGTATCTCGGCATGAGAAGAAGAATGGACTCCAGACTATGAGATGACCTCCTCATCATCTTTCTTATACTGTATGTTTTTTTTCTCATCTGTATGAGCTGCTCATATTAGTGTGACCACCATACTAGGCCAATACTGAAATCCTTCATGGAGAAGGCACAAAAGAATTCCAAGAAGCTCTTTTCCACCATAAGGAATTGATTTTTACAAGCTATTTTTGTTGCATGTCTAAAGGCAGGTCAATGGCAGCAAATGAAAGAAATGACGCCTGAAACTTCAAGCAGTTTGTGTAAGTTCTGTTATATGCATTGGTTTTTAATTTGATTTTTAGATGTGGATATTGCACTTTAAAAATGAATGTGAGTGTTCAGTCGATTATGGAGGGGATTGGTTTGAGCAGACTAAATAATTGGAGAAGTTCTGCATACATTACCAGAGATGAGTAATTTTCACAGAACGTTCCAATTTTGATATTCTGATTAAACATCACAAAGGTCAAAGCTTAAAAAAATTAAATGTATGCACGGATGAATTGTTCATAATATCTATAACATGCATTTAGAAAATAGATGGGATGAATTTTCATAGCATTCCGATGTTAACAAGAATAGCTCATTCAAAAATGAGTTTTTTTTACTTTCATGTGTTTTAAAAACCTGTATGATTATTTGTTGTCCACAGAATGGAGAAGTTCTGCATACATTACCAGAGATGAGTAATTTTCACAGAACGTTCCAATTTTGATATTCTGATTAAACATCACAAAGGTCAAAGCTTAAAAAAATTAAATTTATGCACGGATGAATTGTTCATAATATCTATAACATGCATTTAGAAAATAGATGGGGTGAATTTTCATAGCATTCCGATGTTAACAAGAATAGCTCATTCAAAAAAAAAAATTTTTATTTTTTTACTTTCATGTGTTTTAAAAACCTGTATGATTATTTGTTGTCCACAGAATACAAAATTAGATGTCTAGCAGGATGTCCAAGATGCTCTTTTGCATGCAATGAAAGTGAATGGTGACCAAGACTGACAAGCAAGATTTTCTGTAAATATCATCTTAATTTTCTTTTTTTTCATGCTGTGGAAGTCTTATAATGACATGTAGTGCATATATAGTGAAATATTGTTAATATGCACTACATTTTTGGTGCGTTTATGCTCTTTATTGTTATTTTGGAGCTTGACACAGTACTTGTTACCAGTCCACTTTCATTATATGGAATAGCGCAGAGTGAACATTTTTCAAAACATCTCCTTTTGTGTTCCACAGAAGAAAGAAAGCCATACGGGTTTGCGTACATGAGTGTGAGTAGTAACTTATGACACACTTTTTATTTTGGGGTGACTGTCCCTTTAAGAATTTTATTAGGACAGTTCTAGCATACAAGTAGCAAAAGTTACGTATGCTGGAAACGAGATGGTACACACCAATCTCATTTAAACCCTCTAAATGCAACCATGTGCCCTATATCAGAAACAAATGCTGAATGGCACGCTGAAACAATAAAATCCTGCGGATGGCCTGATGCTGGCTCACCATTATTGAATCCCCCTCATCCATTCTTCCGTCTTTCTTTTCTTCTCACTTTCTCTCTCTGATTCTTCCACTGTATCCCCCACTTTCAAGCCTTGCCAGGACGAAAGCATTGGCAGCGAGATGATGGGAGGTCAGAGGAGGGAAACAGAGCAGGGCAAGACCGAGTGCGTTTCAAAAACACACCTTGTGGGAATATCAACATGCCCTGGAGCGCGGAGAACCGACCCAATGCTGGAGAGCCATCACAGCCCGTCGCATGGTGTACAAGTCTCCCACAGCTGTTCTGGAGCACAAAGGAGTTGACACACGAATGGATGATCTTCCATGGCTCGCAGGAACAGCAGCATGCACACTGTTTCCAGTAAAGGTCACGAGACAGTAAATCAAAGGATCCGAGATGGAAATGCAACAAACCCTCTTGTCTGAGATAATTCTCAGATGTCAAGAAAAGATGTAATTATATCCTTGAAGAACGCCATATGTCAAAGACTTTTCCTATTAGTCCTCAAACATTTGTTTGTTTCTTATTTATTTAATTCATAAAATCTTCTGTTGAACAAAGATTTTTAACTTCCATGGCTCGCAGGAACAGCAGCATGCACACTGTTTCCAGTAAAGGTCACGAGACAGTAAATCAAAGGATCCGAGATGGAAATGCAACAAACCCTCTTGTCTGAGATAATTCTCAGATGTCAAGAAAAGATGTAATTAGATCCTTGAAG